CAGATTGATTTAATTGCATTCATCAGGGTCCATCCGGATTCGAACTCGGGTGCGTATTGAAGTGGTTTATGGGTGTACCAAATGAGCTAGGCTCATTGGTACGAGCAAGGGTTCTCAAGAGTTCTCTTTTTTTTTTTTTTAATTTATTTAATTTATGGTTTGGACGAGTAGAGTTGACATCCGCGGTCCAGATCGGCGTCGACTGATTCGTGCAAGCGTTTGGACACATTCACAGGATTCATGAATTTCAGGGCGTAAAAAAAAAATAATAATAAAAAAATAAAAAAAATTCAGGGCGTCTTCCGAGGCCATCTTCGGACGCAGCTTGAAGGACCCACGGCAATGATTCGTGAGCGGGAGCAGTCAGGGTGTCGCCACACCTCTTTTATTTATTATTATTTTTTTTTTGCCACACCGCTCTTGAAATCTGAAAAAGCCAAAAATGTGGCGGGTGCATCTGGCGATGTTCTAGCGGGAAGTTCATTCTCATTTTGTGCATTTCGAGAGTGATGTGGCGATGCCCTCAGAGAGGAATCCCAAAAACTGGCTCTCGAGTGCTCTCGAAAAACGACATTATGGCTACAGCCACTAATGAGCTAAACCCAAGAGACCTCCGATCTACTCCTGGTTTTCTGCCCCAAATCCGAGAGGAGGTTGCAGCGGCGAAGGGAAGTTTTGGCATGTAGTGCCGGTAGTGCTCTCTGATTCGGAGAGCCCGCCTATCCCAGGTTCCCCAGGCTCATTCACTATTTGGAGAGCAGAGGCTCCATCACACCGTTGATGCCGCCGGAATTCAAGAGCACCTGGGTTCGAGAGTGAGTGTGACAGAGGGCCCTCGGGAACGGTTTTTCTCCTCTCTAACACCCAAGAGCAATCCCATAATTTTTTTCTCGGGATTTTGGAGTGGTGGTGCGGCGAGGCCCTTAGTCAGATGCGTAACTTTGTTTGGTTGCGGCTTAACGATGTTCAGGGCATACTCACACAAGGATTCCTCCTGCTAAGCTCTGGACGTGATTGCAGTCAGATTCATGCAGGTCTGGTTGTAACTGCAGTCAGATACATTTAGCAAAGTGCTAATGTGAATATGCCCTCACTCGCTCAGTGTGCTACTTTGACATAGATATCGACGTTGGGTCATACGCTGGAGAGCTTTGAAGGGTTCCAGACTTCCAGCCCCCGCGAACGGACAAAAGATGTTGGGTCATACGCCGGAGAGCTTTGGTATAGATAAGGACGACAGGGCATGGCGCGTACAAGGGGTTCAAGCTCTTTAGGCTGTGTTACTTTTTTCTATTCTATTCTAAACCCTTTTTCTTCCTGTTCTATTCTAAAGCCTACCAAGTCACGTTCAGGAGAAAGACTGGGAGATATATCTCAGTGTGTGTCTCTGTTATCTTCTTCTTCTTCTTTCATATCCTTTCTTACTCTCTACTTCTCTACTGCTTACCTACTTTCCCTGTCCTTCCATCCTTTTCGTGTCAGAGTTATGCTCCTCGGGAATGACTGGAGGATCCGTCATGATCGAGTTATTAGGTCCCTGTGGAAACATATTGCATTCGTGTTAAGTAAAGGTGAGCCCCTTGTCTGATGATGCATGTCTGATGTGCTATAAGCACCTTGCCTTGCTTTGACGGGAAACATATTGCATCCACATTCGCTTTGCACACACAAGAGAGAGAGAGAGAGAGAGAGAGAGAGAGAGAGAGAGAGAGAGAGAGAGAGAGAGAGAGAGAGAGAGAGAGAGAGAGAGAGAA